GAATACAAAGAATTGTTAAGACCACACTCCGTGTGCTTACAGTCCGTCCTGAAGATGAGACTTACTCATGCAAACCCCTAACAACCAAAGGTGAAGTCATGATTGAGAGCCAAAGAGATTTGGTTTAGACATGGCAGAGACTACATAGAGTGGAACTTGATTCATTCATTCATCAAATATTTATTGAGCACATTTCATGTGCTAAGCACTAATGTGTGCTAGACGTTCAGTGGTAAGCAGGACTGAGAGGGTCCCTGTCCCCATGCAATATGCAGTTGAGAAACACACAGGAAGATTCTAGAGTTCATTGTTCGGAGTTTGCTTTGGTTTGGTTCTCTTGACCTCTTAGAACACCAGACCTCAGAAATATAATTGTTAAAACACTCAGAATTAATTAATTGTGTGCATTGGTAGCTTCCATTTTGAAAAAAAAATCCCAGCTCCTTGCAAAAATATTCTATGTTGCTTGCACTAACTGTGGGGCAAAGGGAGATAATGCCATTGATGGCAGGTTAGTTTGACCTCTCTCCTCTGCTTCTCTGATTTGCTCTTCAGACACTGACATCCCTTGTGTGTCCTGCCTTCAGACACACTAGGTGCCTAAAATAATACCAGATAGAGTGGGCAGAGTGCACAAACCTGTCTCAGCCCTTGTGTGTCTTAAAGAATTAAAGGGTGACTCTGCATGTATCCATGTTTGCACATGATCTGAGAAACCCACTGGGGTAGACAGTGACCCACTGCATGGGGGCACTGCTTGATATTATGGGAGAGCCCACCTGTGGATGAGTCTCTGGACACTGGCTCTGGGCATCTTTTACTAAGAGGGACCAGAGGAAGGATGTGGTCCTGCCTACTTTCTCCTTCCCTCTCTCCCTTTCTTGGAAAGAGCGGGGGTTCTGTGGAAGAAAAAGGGATAGAGGACAATTACCTGTTGAGCCCTGCTCTTCTCAGACAAGGTGGTAGCTGTCCCCCAACCCCTTAGAGGGAAGATGGCCTGTGTGCTGTCTTCATCTGTCCTGACAGCACCCACCTGTCACCAGGGTCCTGAGAAGTGAGCCAGAAGAGAGGTCATTTTTTACCTTTGAGGTTGAGGTTAGTATTCCAGTTTATAGAATGGGGAAACTGAGGCTCCTATCCAAATCTGTAATTATCCTCAGGATATGCATAGTGACCACAGCCTTGAGCATAGCATTTATGGAAGAGAAGCTGATGGCCTGCCTGCCTGGGTGATTTAGCCTTAATCCACAAGGCTGCTAGCCTACAATTTGAAGTCATGTCCAAGGATATGTTTGCTCTTAGAGGTGAAATTTTAGCAAAAGAAGCTGGCTTTTAAAATTAAAATAAGATGCTGGGTGGGGAAGGAGGAGAAGACAGCAGAGCAGTTTCCCCATGTATGCAGCCGTTGACAATTGTACACATAAGATAATGTGAATCCTATAAGCAAGGCTATCAAAGACTCCAGATCTGAGTTTCTGTTTCTCTGGTGGAGAGGTGTAAAAGTATAACTGCCCTGTGAGTGGAAGGACTGAACAGCATTCAGGTGATCTGTGAGGCCCTCGGTTGAGGGCATTTGGGGTTTTTTAACTAGATAGTGTCATGATGGAGCCTCCCATGGACTGTTTACTTGCCCTGGACACCATTGTAAGGGGGACTCTGCTTCCTGAGAGTATAGGCGGACCAGCCTCTGTTGTCCTTGCAGCTCTGCTGGCCTCCCCCACATGCCTTCAGGATACTGCGGCCCACAACTGCTTCAGCTCAGGGGTGACAGAGGATGGGGGCAACAGTAGTTACTTTCCCAGTGAGAATTCATGCCTGGGGTCTTTCAGTGGCAGGGGGCCATCAGTTAAGCAAGCACTGCCTCCTTAGGACACGGAAGGCTCAGCATCTGGTGGCAGTGGCTATCTTCATGAGGGCCTCTATCTCTGAGCTCCAAACCTAGCCCAGTGGTCTCCCAGTATGACCTGGGTCTACAACATCACCTGAGAACTCACTGGGGATGGCAGATCCTTGGGCCCCACCCCAACAATAAATGACTGCCCAACCCTTCAGGTCATTTTGGCATCCTGGAGTTGGAGAACAGCTACCCTACGTGATCTTGTGGCCTTGGGCCTGGGAGATCTTCAGTCCACCCTAGAAATTGACCACTGCTGGTCAGACTGGGGGGAGTTGTTCCCTTTCGGCTATCCAGAGCATGCAGAGCAAGACTTTGTCTGAAAGGGCATACCATCTTCATAGACTAATTTTAGCTCTCAAGAACAATCGTCCCAACCAAAAAAAATAAGCAGGTGGTCATGTTTCAGAAATGATCCACCATTGTCTCAGATCCAGATCTAAGCCCATGCTCTTTAGATGCTTTTTTGGCCCCTTGAGAGGAACAGATGCTGATGGGGATGAGCCTCACCGGGCTTGCCTGGAAACATCTTGGGCTCTCAGAAAAGAGGCAAGCACTAGTTCCATGCAGGCCAAGTGTGCCCCAGCAGACCCACAGACATCAGGCCTTGCTGGGCTTCCAACTGACTTGGACTTCATCCCTGAAAAACACGAAATCAACTCCAAGCATTGCATCTACTTAAACTTTGGATCCCATGAGATCTAAATCAGTACTGGGCACAGCTTTGCTGTTGCATTAAGTGTGCTCGTGTTCTTTATGCTGTGCTCTAGGAGCCATGGCAAGAATCTCAGGAGGGATAGAAAATTGCTCCCTGATTTGCCTCTGCTTGTTTGGGGCCAACAGCATCTCCTGCCAGGATTGGCCACGAGGGCACTTAGGGCTGGTCTGGCTGTGCAGGCGCTTTGCAAGTGCTCACTTAAGCCACAACCTTTTCTCCTCATTTGTCTCTTTCCCACCAGGGTCCTTCTTTCAGGGGGCTCTGGGAGAAGTGGTTTGCTCATCTAGGAAGGCGTGTGCTCTCCTAAGGACCCTTCTTCCCAGTGGGGTCCCTGTCCTGTTCCTCCCTGAAGCACCTCCCACGCCTCTCCTTCTTGCTTCCCAGTGAACTCCTATACTGGAAGATTGCAGACTGCACACTTTGCCTCTTTGTCTTGATTTCCTAGCCAGACAGCAGGTGACCTTTTGAAATTCTGGCACAGATGCTCTCCTCACATTTCGTTTTTCTCGTGTTCTTTTAGCTTCTTTATTCTACATTCTTGTAAACCCAGCAGGCTTTGGGAAGGGACCCTACCCTCTCCAGAACGCCTCCCAGTGACCGTGGCCCTTGACTGAAGACAGTCAGCAGGGCCTGGGAGGCAAGAGGTGAGGTACTGCTCCTGGCCCTGCCAGACAGCTTGCTGCGTGGCCTCCGATTTGTGAGGTGCCATCATTGTGGCTGGGGGAGAGGTGTCTGCACAAAGTGGGATGTTAATTTAAAACATCTAGAAATGATTGAATCAGGAAACCCTAATGGAGGTACCAGATAGGAAGTAGGTGGCCAAGCCAGCAGGAGTGTGGTTAAAAGATAACAGGAAGCCCATGTAGTTAGAGTCTAGAGCTCAGAGCACCTGAGAGATAGGGAAGCCACGCGTGGCAACAGGTCAGGGTGACATGAGAGAAGCCAGAGTTTGGGGGCCAGAATCAAGCAGGAACTTTAGAACACGAAAGAGCAACACAGATTGGCAGCACACATCTGCAGCCATGGTCTTTGCTGACCATGCTGTGAGCAAAATTTTGGATCTTGGCTGTCTTGAATTTTTAGCCCATATGATTTTATATCGAGCAACTTTACAACAGTCAGCCGGCAGTCCAGATCCTGAATCTAGGCAGCTCCTGCGATGTTCTCCGGGTCCCCTGCAGCAGCCCATCTTCCTCCAGGCTCTTCCTGGGTGTTGTGCCCCAGCAAGGCATTGCAGATGGTGCCAGTTACCATCCAGGTCTCCGTGATCCTCAGGCCCACCCAGACCTGCTGGGCATGGGATCCCTCAGTCTGCGTTTTGATAGCCCTCCTGGAGAGGCGGATGCACATTCTGTTGAAGAACTGCTCCCATCATGAAGCAGGGGGTCTTGATGACGTTGGGGAGCCTGGAGGTTAAGAGGACGTTGCGAGCTCCACTCCACGCCGTGCTGGAGTGAGGCGCAAGGAGAGAAAGCCTGGCCAGCACCCATGCAAGCATCATGGAAGGAGCAAAATCGCCTCAGCCTGACTTACCTGGCTGTTGACTTGTTTACAGCCTGAACCACCAGTCCCTAATGCAGGGCACAGGGCAGGAGGGGAACTTCGTTCTTGTTCTGGAAGTACTTGCTTCAGGGGAAAAAGCAGGCTTTCAGCAGTTTAGCTAACACACACTCCATGTTCACCAGAATATAAAGTTAGATGTGTTGTTTTGCAGAATATAAAATTCTCATGAATTTTTTTTTTTTTAAGGAAAAACAAAAGTTTACACCTTTTCCCACTTTTCACGGACTGACTTGGGCTGTGCCGCCCAGAACCACTCTGGGTTGGGTAACTCTTCTCTGCCCTTGCACATGCCTTTTTGAAAGTTTTGGGAGACAGGGGTCTTCTTGGGCTCAGTCTCCACAGGGAAGTGGTGGGGGCGGGGGTGGGCTCATGTCTTCAGCTATGTCTGAAGGAGCTCTGGGCTTCCTGGCCTCAACAAAAAAGTGCGGTTTGTGCACACTGTTCTGTTGGCTGTTGGAACCGAGGTGCCTCACACAGCCCCAGGGGAAACACGAATTCTGTGAGACAGACACAGAGCACAAGCTGGGGAGGGGCAGAGAGAGAATGAGACACAGAATCTGAAGCAGGCTCCGGGCTCTGAGCTGTCAGCACAGAGCCTGACACAGGGCTCGAACTCACAAACCACAACATCTTTACCTGAGCAGAAGTCGGACATTTAACTGACTGAGCCATCTAGGCGCCCCTTCCCTTCTGATTTTGAAAGAAAATATTTTCTTGGGCTCTGAGGGTGTGGCGGGGCCTGTTGGAGAAGTCAGCCTTGTAGAGATTCCCCTGGAAAACCCCTGAGTCATAGACACAGAATAACCCAGCCCTTTGGTTGTTTAGAAAATCGGCTGCGACGGCATCATCGGGTCCGCGGCCAAGGAAGACCGGTGCGGGGTCTGCAGCGGCGACGGCAAGACCTGCCGCGTGGTGAAGGGTGACTTCAGCCACACTCGGGGCACAGGTGAGTGTGATACCCAAGGGAAAGGGGACCCTGGCCATGCCTGGGGTGGGGGGGAAGAGGGAGCCCCGAAGGGTTACTGCTGCTGCAGTATAGCCTGCAGGTATTTACAGATTTTATTTACGTTGCCAAAAGCCAACGATCACACACCTTCTAGATGATAATAGATAGGCGACCTGGCCCTTCAGTTTTGTGGTTTCTGAAGGGCAAAGAGAAAACATTTTAGCCAAAACATCTGTAGGTTCCTAGAAATGAATGGTGGGGTTCAGTGGTGCCGCCCTCCCCAACCGGCTCCTCTGTACTTCGCATCGGCCCATCTTCCCATGTGATACGTGGCTGTGTCCTTTTTACCTGTAAATGGAAGATTCTCTGTCAGCTAATGTAGGGCCGCATATACACACATCCCTAAAACACGCATGAAGCCGATGTTCCAGGAAGTCTGAGCTGCCTCTCTGCCAACTGTGAATATAGAGGGGAGTCTCCTGTTTCCCGGATGTAGACCTCTCGCAACGCTGTGCTTACAGAGGTCCATCCATGTCCATCCATCCAAGTTCAGCTGATGGGTCTTCGGAGTCTTTCTGCTAGGACTGTTCACAGAGGTGGATTGCTTTGCCCAGAGGTGGGAGGTAGTTTCTGATCACCTGTCCTAGAGGACACTAGCTTATGATGTCCAGGGATGTGTCTGGTTGAAGCATGCAAGTCCTCTGGGGAGAGAGCTCTTCTCAAAGCCTTAGTATCCAAGTGCAAGATCACCAAAGCAGCTTGGTGGGCAGAGCTGAGCTGAAAAGTCTCTACTTGAATTTGAATTATTATTTTCCATAGAAGCTTTTCAGTTCAAATTTACCCCAGAAGGGTACAGAATCACAGGGAACAAAACCTCTGTCCCGCAGAACAGGCCTCTGGGAATGAGGCAGAGAGGAGAAGTCTGTACATGCTCCCTTCTTCTCTCTCTGTATAGAAGACCTGGTCTAGCGGAAACATTGCTTCTTGATGCCTTGCAGAAAGGGCAACCTATTGCACAAGGATTTTGCAGGATCTCGTGAAAGCAAAACCAGAGGCAAATGTAAGCACAGAATTTAATTTTAAATTGATGCTTAGAAAGTACATTTCAGGCCAGGTTTCTGGATTTTAAAGACAGGTGCCCAGTCTACAAAATAGGACACTGTGTGAGAATTGTTGCCTGCTGCATGGATCCTGAGGTAAACTGAGGAAGGTAATGCTAGAGCAAGTCATATTGGGGGGAAAGTGCCCTCTGAAACTGAACCATCCAGAACAGCAGTCACAGGCCACTTTAGGCTATTCAGATTTCAGTTATAGGGACGCGTGGGTGGCTTAGCGTGTTAAGCATCCGACTCTGGATTTCAGGTCATGGTCTCACAGTTCGTAATTTCAAGCCCCACATGAGACTCTGCACTGACAGCGAGGAGCCTGCTTGGGGTTCGTTGTCTCCCTCTCTGTCCCTGCCCCACTCAAGTGCGCACACACATGCACACTCTTAAATTTAACATTAAAAAAATTATAATTAAAATTAAACAAACTTAACAGTTCAGCCCTTGGTCCCACTAGCTACATTTCAAGTGTTCCACTGGCACACATGGCTAGTGGCTCCTGTGCCAGACAGCACAGAGAAAGAACATTTCCATTGTTGCAAAAAGTTCTCAAACAACACTGCTCTGGAACGTTGGTGCTTCCTATCTGTTTTGATGTGTCTTATGGCACTTTCTCTGTTTGGATCCCCAGCTCCGGTCGGCCATGACACTTTGGCCTCCCCTACTAGGAGCAAAACCTCTGCAAGTTTTAGTACTGATTTTTAAAAAGTGGGGGAGAAATTTGAAACTTTTATTTAAATTGGGGCATCTGGGTGGCTCGGTTGAGCGTTCGACTTTGGCTCAGGTCATAATTTCATGGTTTGCGAGTTCGAGCCCCACGTCAGGTTCTGTGCTGACAGCTTAGAGCCTGGAGCCTGCTTCAGATTGTCTCCCTCTCTCTTTGCCCCTCCCCCACACCATAGGCTCTTGTTCGCTCACTCACTCTCTCTCTCTCAAAATTAAATAAACATTAAAAAGTAAACCAAAAAAGAACCTTTTATTTAAATCAAATGTGCCGACCTCCAAGAAACCGAACTAACTAACTCTCCTTCCTCTGTTATGTGGAAGGCAGGTTGAGCACAGGTTGAATTGCCCACTCCTGCCCCGGGGGAAATTCAGTAGAACACTAAGGATGGTTCTGTCACACATCTTTGAAAACCTCCACTGGAGGCAACATTGCAGCTCACTTCCAAGAGAACCCTGATGGGGACAAAAATGGTTCTTTTTTCCCAGAGTCTAATCTTCTTGTTGACCTTTGATCTCGGCATGAGTAGATCCATTCTTCCAATCACAATAACATGTTTTTTTCTTGTCTCCCCTTTCTCCATCCTACCTTGTGCCTGGGTTCCATCTGTTCACAGGAGGAATGTGGGCAGGAATGTGTAGCCTTCCTCCCAGGGAGTTCAGGGTTCTGAGGCTCTGGTAGCTGGTCCCCTTGAGGGATGGAGAATCATTAGAAGTCTTCTGGGGGTGTGGCTCAGTCGGCGTCTGACTTTGGCTCGGGTTACGATCTCACAGTTCGTGGGTTTGAGCCCTATGCCGGGCTCTGTGCTGACAGCCAGCTCAGAGCCTGGAGCCTGCTTCAGATTCTGTGTCTCCCTCTCTCTCTGACCCTCCCCTGCTCATGCTGTCTCTCTCTTGCTCTCAGAAAAAAAAAAAAGTCTCCTGGGGATACCTGCCCCCACCCAGGCCTGTGGTTAATGTGCTTCCTTATAGCTTCTGGCACATGAAAGCGCTAGCAAACCTTTGGAGAAAGATCAGCACCCAGAGCTTCACCCACCTGGAAAAATTCCGTCCTTCTGAGCAGTTGCCAAATATCACACCTTTGTTTTAAAGTCTGAAGCTGTTTTTCCCAAGTTTTCACCATCTGTGAGCAGAAGCTTATATCATTGTGGATTCTGCTTACTGAAGATGTGCATGAAATGCTCACTCACACATGAATTTATTGCTATCTAATATAGTTTCATCAAACACAACCCTGTGGTTGTGGTCTGACATTCTGGAATGCATATATACAGAGATACTGACGAAGGGCCACCCAGTAGTCCATTTGCCCAGCAAACATTTACTCAACACTACTACATTTTAATTTTTTTTAATGTTTAATTATTTTTGAGAGAGAGAGCGAGCATGAGAAGTGGAGGGGTAGAGAGAGGGGGAGACAACAGAATTTGAAGCAGGCTCCAGGCTCTGATCTGTCAGCACAGAGCCTGACACGGGGTATGAACCCACGAACTGTGAGATCATGACCTGAGCCAAAGTTGGATGCATAACCGACTGAGCCACCCAGGTGTCCCCGTGCTACTACATTTTAAGCATGAGTTGTACAGAAATAAAAGTTAACGGTTCCCCCAAGTGGGTCACAGCCAAGGGAGGGAACCCCCAGTCAAGCAGCTTGAGTCCACGTGTGAGGTTGGAAGCATCTCAGCGGGGGTTGCCATGAGGCCTCAGATTCTCAAGGGGCACTTGTCCCAGCCCTGCTGAAAGATGAGGGTGGTCCCCAAGCCCTAAGAAACCAGTAGAAATTAACTGGCAGTGGGGATGGAGGAAGGGCATTTCAGGCTGAAGGAAAAACCAAACTTAGAAATGGTGTAGAGTCCCCGGGTCACATAACATCTGGGTGACTCCAAGTGAGGCCGGGTGGATTCAGTAATCCTGTCAGTTTAGATAGGAAGGTAACTTTCATCTCTGCTCAGCTCCAAAGATTTGGAAAAAGAGGAATGTCTTATCACCCGTAAGGGTGAATATCAAAAAGGAATACCATCCCAGGAAGATAACAAGTAATCAAATGCAGGATTTTTGCCCAGTTATCTGAAGTCCTGACCCTTGCCTGAACCCTTCTGGATTTTTTCACCTAAGTGCTTGAGTGGAGAATCCAGAGCAGATCCACACAGGGACAGTGTCCACACCCCTCAGGGTGTCCCCCTCTTGGGTCCTTGAGAGGTCACAAACAGAAGGAATATGGCATTCTGAGTGTTGGTCGTTTATTACCCTCCTGGCCTATTGACTCCTGACTTTGAACAACCGAGGCTTTCAGCACCTCAGCTATAGGAGGGATCTATTCGAATTGGCTAGTGTATTACTTCCTGGATGGATGGACAGGCTTGCATATGCTCAAGCCTTCGGTTGAATTGAAACAGTGGAGTTTTTTAATTTAGAAATTTGGAAGTTCTTGGTGTGTTGCCTTCACCTCATTCACTAAATAGTCACTGTAACATTTGTATCTTTCTCCTGTGTTCCTCCTCAATGCTAAAAAGGTGACTAGTACCCACTGAAGTCCCCACCAGCAACCACCACTGGGGCTCCATGGGTTCTGAATCGCATTGCACTTGCTCTCAAAGAGAACCTTCTTGAACAGTGAATTTTTAAAAGGAAAGGTGATATGATCCATCCCTTTTGAGTATGGATCGATCACAAGTCACATATTTAATGAGTAATTAGCTTTAGAACTTCTGTCCCATGCCAAGTCTCTGGGTGTGGGGTATGGAGGTTTTGTGGAGAAATTTACCCTATATGATAACAAATAATGCCTCTTCTCTCCACCGTGACTAAGAACACCAGTATCCGTTCCTGAAATGTGCATATAAACCAAGTACAATATATTTCTTTTCCTCAGTCAAGAATAATCTTTGTACGAAGGTGTCCACATGTGTGATGGCAAAAGCTGTTCCCAAGTGTTTCTCATGTAAGATGTTTGTATATTATGTGCAGTACCAGCAGTGACATGAGTGGTGTGGCATTCTTTCCTCGCTTACATGCCTGAATGTTTTCTGAGCAGAGTCGATGGGAATGAGTCATGCATGAAACCATGGATAAACACGAAGGCCATTAATCACTTACATATAACTGATGTGTAGGACTGATTGCCAAGAAGAGAAACTGTAGAATAAAACCAATTTTAAAGCTATAAAAGGT